TAAAATATATTTTGGGTCATCAACTAAAATTACATGACCCAATTTAATCTCTTAAAAATAAATCGACTTGTGATCCCTTTAAATTCCAAAATAGACCAATATTAGTCATTTTGAGGGATTAATGTGGTCTTTTTGAATTTCAGAAGACCGTGATTTTGATTATTTGGGTCTATTTTTGAATTCTTAGGGATTACGAGTTAGACTTTTTTTTTCCCTAAGAGATTAAATTGAGGCCAGTAATTTTTGTTGAGGACCCAAAATGTTATATTGTAACAGTTTAGTTGACTCTTGATTACATTTTTTATATTAAGTTAAAGTTTTTTTTTTTTTTTTTTTTTTTTTACATTTCTTATACTTTATATTTATTTTCACCTTTGTATGGTTATGATTTCCCATATTTAATGCTTTCACTTTAAATATGGGGAATCATGACCATACAAAGATAGAAATAAATATAACCGTTGGATCAACATAATCGATCTAACGGTGAGATTGATTGGTAGTCACTTGGTAGTAACACAACTTGGTTGTCATAATATCCTTCCCCTTTTAATTTATTTAAATTTTTTTCCTTTATTCTTTTATTCTAAGTGTGCAGACATTAAAAAAAATTCTAGGTCCGCTATTGATTTAGTCTATTATCAAATAATATGAAATTTCATCACAGTTGCATATTCCAAAAGAGTTGCCTACCGTTGATACTTTGCATCAACATGCACTGTAATAAAAGAATCTCAAGAGAGACTAAGAGTTTGATTGTATGTTGATTTTTCTTCTTAAAAGTTAAAATTATTTTGTAAAATAGTTAATGAAATAGGTATTTTTTACTTTTATTTTTGTTTTAAAAGTTAAAAGTCAAAATACAAAATAAAAACAACTTAGATATGTTTTATAAATTTGATTTTAAAAATAAAAAACAGTTACTGTTTTTTTATATAAAACAGGCTTTATCAAATATATTTTTTATTTTTATTTTTCTAAAAATTAAAAAACTGTTTTTTGAAACAAATTTCAAACAGTCCCTAAGTAAGACGAAGGCAAAACTAAGTAAGATTATTTAGGAGAAAAATAAGTAAAAGTAAAGGGAAATAGTTCCGTCCTGTTACGGGACTAAATCCTTGTCATGTAATAAAAACAAGTTTTGTGGGATCCACCAATATGTAAAAGAAAAAGTAAAGAAAAAAAAGCAGCCCAATTTTCGATGTTAGAGTAAGATAAAAAGATTTAATGCAACACCACAAATCTATTTCCCAAAAGTAAAAGATTAATAAACGAAAGTGCTTTATCTTTTAGCAAACCATTTTCTTTTCATAACAGCTTTCTTATTTGCACACAAAAAGTTTTATATTTTTTTTTTACATTTTCCAATTAACCAATGTTTAAACATAGATTATCAAGAATTTATTCATACTTAATCACTCTACCCCATTACTCATACATTTCCATTAAATTAAACAATATTCAAAATATGAGCTGAGAACATAAATTATCAGTCCATTAATTAGCCTATGTATATATTTTTACCCAATAATTAAATTATTATTAATCAAATTTTACTTGTGTACAAAACAGCATGCGCAAAACATTTTAGTTTTCATAATCATTCTCTCTTTCATTTAGCCTGAAATTTTGAATTGTGACTCTATGGCATGGAGATTTTTGCGTTGTTAATGTATTCGTTTTCCTTTTCCATATCATGCAGGACATTGGATGAGTTGTACGAACATTCGTTGATTCATAATTTCTTATAATTATTTAAAAACTTGTCAAATATAATTAACAAAATAAGTATTTAACAAGTCAATAAAATACTATAGAAAAAAACAGTAATAACTCCTGGGGTAGTCCTTGTTTTACTAAGTAGATGATTTATTCTTGAGAATCACAATTTCTGAAGAGTATGAAGAAGTACAAACCCGAAACCTGATTAGTCGATTTATTAGGATTTAAGATATCAATTGATATTTATCAAAAAAAAAAAAAAAAATCATTTCTCCAAGGTACCTTCCATCTCCAAAAGTGACATTTACTATCATGTTTGGATTTCCAAAACATGATTGGATTTAATAGAAAAATAACTTTTTCTCTGTCAACCAAATCATAACTTAGACCTTCTTTTTATTTTTTTAGTACAAACCTAAAATTTTATTTAAACACAACTCAATCACAATTGTGTCAGACATATTATTTGCCGATGCATGTAGCTTAATTTTCACTTTGGGATATTCAAATTATAACCCAAATACAAATATTGAAAATAACACAACTTGGTACTTAATCTCCACAATATTTGATATCTGAAATAATTAAGCTATATAATAATTTCTCACTCCACCAATTTGACACAAGGTTCCAGAATGATATTTATTCAAAGGGCATTGCCGACCCTTTGAGTAGTAGCTGGATATTTAAAATTGGTATAGAGATCAAAAGTCATGGAAGAAAAGTATTATTTTGTCACCATTACCATTCTTTTTTAATAGCTTTTTTTTAATTTATAGTGGAAAATTCCTTATATAAAGATGACCATCCTATATGCCATTCTTCTCATCAAAACAATCCCTTCCATTTTATATCTCCACAGCACCTACATTGCACTTGTACTTGCTTCTACGCTTCCACTTCCTCTAGCTTTAACTCTTTTCTCTCTTCAATATGTCAAAGAAGAGAAACCAAACTATGGGAAACCCAACATGGAACATCTCTGAGAGCTCTTCAAAAGAGCAAGACCAGTTCCTCCCCATGGCCAACATTAGCCGTATCATGAAAAGGGCACTCCCAACCAATGGCAAAATCTCTAAGGAAGCAAAGGAAAAAGTACAAGAATGTGTATCTGAATTCATAAGCTTTATCACTGGAGAAGCATCTGATAAGTGCCAAAGAGAAAAAAGGAAGACAATTAACGGGGAAGATCTTCTTTGGGCTATGACTACGCTGGGGTTTGAGAACTACGTTGGACCCTTGAAGGTTTACTTGAACAACTTGAGAGAAAAGAGTGATAATATATAGTAATAATGATCACTCTCCAACAGAAGAGGATCATATTGATGTGTCAACCAATGAAGATTTTACCAGTTTCAATGGTGGCTTTTGCTATGTTGAGCCTCAAGTAATTAGTCCAAAGAACCTAACACTCATAGGAGGGGTCACCGGTTACGGAGAGATTTCCATGAACAGTGGCTATTTCTCAGAATGCGGTCACCTGTGAATGTGATGCATATGCAAATTGTATAATATTATATAATGATGTCATCCAGCTTATGTTACAATTAGTAACGGTTTAGTGATGAAGTTATCTCTTACCCCTAAAACAAGTAAGGAAGGTGTTTAAAAAAATTTCAAAATTATTTTTATGGGATATGTTATATTTACCACTATTTTTTTTATTAATTTTATTATTATTGGATCAAAATTAAATTAATAGCTCTCACTTTATGTCATTTTGCAATCTTTGATTTATTTTTGATTCTACGATAATAAAATTGATTATAAAAGGTGGTAAAAAAAATTGTTGTAGGTATAGGTATAATCTCCCCCAACTATTATAAAAGAGAAATAAAATTCTCAATTATCGTGTGTGTGTTTTGTTCTGTTTGACAAAAAGAAAGATTATATGATGGAAATATATTTATCATGTTAGAGAAATATATTTCGAGAAACATATTTAGAGAAACTCCACTTTTGTCATTTGATGGTTAGTGGATTCTCCTCCCTCCGTAACTTTTTTTTGGTTCGCTGTTGATTAAAAAATAAAAAGGAATTGGTGCAATCCAGTTTGTTGGATTTTCTTCCACACAAAAAAAACACAATAAAAAGTATTTTTAATTATCATAGTATAAGATACTAATATTAATTAACACATTGACTCATTTCAAATATTAAGTAATTGAAATATAATTCTAATTATTAATTATTATAATAATAACTAATTAATTTTTAAAAAAAAATTATAGATAATAAAAGTATCTCATATAATATTAAAATAATATATATTTGAGATCTAGAATAAAATATAGGATATTTTAAAAAAAAATCAATATAAAAGAAAAGTAATTAAAAATTTCAAAGTACCCTATATTTATTTTTCTAAATCTCAAAACGGTATTATTTAGAGTTTGTAGGAGATAATATATCTAGTGCTCCATCAGAAATATTTTTTCCTTTTTTATAATGAGTTTTATTAATGTTATGTTAAAGTAGATATATTATCTCTGTCATAGAGATAAATTTTATGAGTTTTACCATCTGAAAAATAAAAAATAAATAAAAGAAAAAGATGACACAGTTATCGAAGATTATATAGGAGGAAAAACTTATTTCACGTAGCATGAGAATAGTTTTTCCTTTTTATAATACATTAATTGATCATAATTGAATTTTAAATTTGTATTCTTATAATCAATTAATGGATGAAATTTTTTTTATAAATAAATTATCACCAATTAATAAATTTACTCAAAATTTCCATCTATTTATGAATTTACATCAAATTTTCACAAAATTATCATTAAACTGATTATTATTTATGAATAAAATTTTTTGGTGACAATTGTCTTATAGCATTTTTTGTTATTATAATATTATGTAAACATTATATGAAACCAATAAAGAGTAAGTGAGTAACAACTCAAGATTGCAGAATGGATATGAAATTTAGTCAGATTCAATAAAGACTAAATATTAGTTTGGGGTGTATCAATTTTTTTTTAAAATTTAGGGGTTAGATTATTAAAGAATTATAGGAATACTTTTAAAATCATTAAGTATTATTTGTTTAAAAATCAATTATAATCAATTATATTAATTAATAATTTTACTTGTATAATATTCAAAGTGAATGAATGTGTACTAACAAAAAAGATCACATTAAAAAATAATTCAATAACAACAGCAGCTCAGGAATGACGCGGCAAAGTAGAACGATGGTAACATTAATAAGAAAGATAGAATTACAAAAAAAATAAAAAATAAGAAAGATAGAAAGAACAAGTTTCAAAACAAAACACAAAAGGAAAATAAGAGAACATTAATTACAGTATCTGTATAACGTTGGGCGCTTAATCCTTTCAGCGTCGTTTCATATTGAAATTCATGGATGCTTCTTCCATTCTGATATGAAATTGCGAAGGAAGAATAGTAATAGTAGGGAACCCACATGTCTGAGATTGAGAATTGTTCCCCATAATCGATTAACGGATGCAAGAAGATGTCTTTGATGAAGAAGAAAAGAAGGGAAAGCTCGGATTTTTCCGAATCGACGACGTCGTCGAGTTCATCACAAAAGGCTAAAGGTAAAGAGAAGGGGATAGCGTGCAAACGACGGAACCCTAGATTCATTGTTCGCCGCAATAGGGCTAATGTAGCCACTATTGGGCTTCCTCTTGGAATGTCATTCGCCGCTGTTATGGCTCAGGTAAACGGTGTCGTTAAAGCTTATTTCTTTTTATACCTTCCAATTTCACTCTTTGACTTCTTAATGCTGATTTTTAAATTGCCCTTCTCTCTGCTATTAAAAAATAAAATTAAAAAATAAAAAATCTTGCCTTTGATGATGTTTGAAAAATTAAAAAAAATTGCTTCAATGAAATCTTGTTCTATTTTCCTACATTACCGATCACCTATGTGATTCTGTCTTATACAAACTCTTATAATGTGCTTTCTTGAATGAGAGATTACGCTAAAACTATCAACTCTAGTAAGTGTTTTAATTTTTACAATTATTGCTTTATCTTGTGCTTGTGATTTTTAAAATATTTTTTAGGTGTTGTATAGAAGAGATGCAGCAGCTGAGAGTATGTCTCCTAGTCATCTTTCATCGGTAATCTTCTTCACTATTTCTAAAGCAAACTTCAATGAAATTTGTTTCTGACTTATGCACTCAGATACCATTGAAAGACAACTTATTGGATTATAATTGTGATATTTAGGAAAATTACAAAATATAATCTTTTAGTGGTATTGTCTTGCGACATGGGAATTATAGTGCTATCCTTTTATGCCTCGTTGGCTCTTGCTGATAATTTGATTTGATTCTGATCTGAGTCTTGACCACTACACTGTTTGTGTGTGTACCTTGTAGATGTGCACGTCAGCTATCAAAGAATCTCTAGCCAATGTAAGCCCAACATCAATTGTTGAATCATCCCTTGACTGCGATTTTACTACATATCTCTAGCAGTTCATGCCAACATTAAGCAAATTCTATTTTGCTAAAGTAACGTCTGTGTGCCACTTGTTCTGACTACTGCCTAACCGGCAACAGGTTTTTGGAGACAAGCTAGATGATCTTACAAGGAATTTTGAACAATCTTTTCATAGCACTTTGAGTACTCTTCAATTAATTTATGAATCATCTTCGAGCAATGAGGGAAATAAGTTTAATCATATGAGGAGGGAAATTCCAAGTTCTAAATTGACTGGTGACAAAGAAGATTGCTCAAGTCATATTGTTACAGAGGATGGTCATTCGGGAGCACTAGCGCATGCTGAAATTCAAGATCAATCAATTAGTCGGGAAGAGTTCAGGGATAACTTTCATATGGGTTCAGTTAATCGTGATCTTACTATGCATGGGCAATCAAACCAAATGGTTTGTTTTTCTCCAACGTCTTCTGGATCTGTAATTAATAATCCTATGATTTGTACTTTTGAGAAGTCCATTGTGGAGCAATGTCGTTCTAATGACCTCAAGACAATTGAACTTGGCCTTACAATGAGAAAATTGAAAATGAAAGAGACAGAATTGGCTCTCAACTTTGATTTGAATAATCTAGAGAGATCAAAGTTAGCCATGGGAGTATCAAAGGCATCTTTCAAAGCTGAAAAATTCAAGACTCAGTTAGAAGATATGAGACACGGTGAACTGAATAGGAAGTGCATAGACTGTCTTATTGCCGGTCTGCTTATTATGTCATTCTCACTTTTGTATGGTGCTTATGTTTATTCCTATGAACGGATTACTGAAGCTTCTGAATCATGTAAACCATCAACCCAGGCAAGTCTAATCCTTTTTTTTTTTAATTAGATGAAGCTACTGCATTATGCTTTGGTTTAACAGTTATTGGAAAAGTTAGTAAGATTTTTTGTCTTGAGTTAGGGCTATAACTCTACCAGTTTGACAAAGTACTCTAATGACTTTACCTGCTGCCTTTTTTTTTAATGTTCATTGCAGAATCTTTTTCATGTGATATGGAGTAGCTAGTAATCATTGCCTTTAATGATTTTAGAGTCCGAGTACCTTTGTTCTAAAATTGCAGGGTGAAAAATAACTATTAGTAATCGCGTTGTTGAAATTTTATTTAGAAAACTAGTCAGATTTGTGTTTAAGATTTTCATATTTAGTTTCTGTTTAAGTACATCTGTGTCATGACCAAAGATTCAATAAATCATTTTCCCTTTCTTTGAGTGTAATTTAGGAATTAAGATGCTAATTATGCAAAATAGAATGTAATTATGACAGTATTTTCAGCTGCATATTATTCCAGCATTGCCTTTGCTCAATTAGGAAATATTGATGGCACTTTTCTCTATTTTAGGAATCTTCCTCCTGGTGGACTCCTAAATCAGTGGTCACATTCAATTCAATGCTTCATGTTTTGTGGTGCCAAGTTCAACTTGTGAGCCGAATGGCGTTTGGTGTCCTTATAATTCTTGGAGTTGCATATTTGCTCATTTGGCGTTCAGCAACATCATCATCACAGACTATGCCGCTTACTTTCATCCTTTTGATGTTAGGGATTGGTTGTGGCTGTTCTGGCAAACTGTGTGTAGACACACTGGGAGGGAGTGGTTATCTGTGGCTCTTATATTGGGAGATTCTTTGCATGCTTCATTTCTTATCTGTTGGCTGCACATCTGCTTTGTACCCGATCCTTCATGGACCAGTTACCACAACGCCACAAACAAAGAAGGAAAATGTAATTTTCCGGTATTGGATTCGCCGATCTTTGTACTATGCTACTATGCTTGCGTTTCTGCCATTGTCTTGTGGTCTCTTGCCTTTTGCTAGCCTAGGTCAATGGAAAGACCATTTTTTGTTGAAGGTGTCAGGTTTCAATGAATCCGAATGGTAATAAAACCAGAGTTTGGTCATGGAAAACCTTTTATGCTTACCTCTCCCCTTAACTTACTATGAGCTGCTTTGCTTGTGGTAAGCAAACTAGCCAAGCACCAGTTGTTGTATTTGCCCACATGTAGTCTTATTTAGTTCAGGTTTTGCTCATAATTTTCTCCTATGATGTAATATTTCAAGTTATGCAACGAGTATTGTATTATACGCACCGTCTTGCTTTACCTTTGATGCTGGATCCTTATTTTATAATTTAAAGATCTGGCGATGAATCATGAATGTACCAAAGTTGAATAAGTTATCTCCTGCTGTACCGTTTCCTACTTCTTGTTATGTGAAAAAGAAAAAGGACCCTGAAATCTGAATAATTCGTTGTTTCACTTGCATTCGTTCATTTAATTCATCAAACCAATCATAAAGTTTTTTTTTTCCGAGATATTCCAATCGATTCATCGTTTCGTGACTAATCCGATTCAGAGCGAGTCTCGAGATTAAAGTTTTAAATCTCTCAAAGATAGTATTAGAGAGGATCGAATATATACTTTTACTATTACCTACTCAATTTTCTGGCGTTATCGAATTATTTTTATTTGATCTATCAATCATAAAGCTAACGTCCCACACTAATGAATATTCTCTTACCTCGCTGATACTTACTGAACTTTCTCACCTAATAATGCAAGTACTGGGCACGTTCTATCGGATTCTCTATGTTATGTTTGAGACCCGATCCATTTGAATGCCATCTACCTATGTCGCTTCTTGTGAACAAATATTACGAGTTAAACCTTAGGTGGTAGCCTCTAGATTAGGCGTGAAAAGTGGCAGCTCTGGATTAGACGAGACAGGTTTTTCTTTTGGAGCCATAGAGCAATGAAATTGATCTCTAAGGACTAAGGAACACGGGTACATTATTTATTAAGTATTAGAAAAATAATTTATTTATATTACCTTCATTTTCATGATCTTTTCTATTTATATGACAATTAGATTTTTCTTTTAGGTGCTGTTTGATAGTTTTGAGAAATTTCTCCATCTATTATATTTGCATAGCATTCAGCATTTGGTCGTAGAAAGCAAGCTTTTGTCAATGTTAAGAAAGACAAGTTGGAGGTGATGTTTCTTGGTTAGTCAGCTAAATGGCAAAAAAACAATTCAAATCAGACCATAATACCCTCATGTAAAGCGAGATGGTGTATCTGTCATAATTCAGTAAGCACACGTAGTAAATATAGAATGTTGTACGTAAACCAATAAAAAACTCTATGCTTCAGTAAGCACACAATTTGATATATGTTCTGTTCATGAACCAATTACTCTTAATTTGTTGGGTACATTACACCAAGTTCCATTTAATCATAAAATTGACGAGGGGTTTACTTGTATTAATATTAAAAAATTAATAAGGAGTTACTTTTGTAATTTTATTCCATTTATTCATTAATATTTTATCATCAATCAAACATAAACTTTAAAAACTTTAATCAAGTTGTCTGGTAATATTTTGCCAAACCAAATAACTTTTTTTTTAACTTTCTTACTTAACTCACTTTCCCTACAGATCCCTGATAATTATATTTCTTTAGTATAAAAAAATTTCACCTGTACCAAACGCTCCCTTATAGTTGTTATATTTGTCTTGTTGCAGAATAAAAATTGAGTTTCCTACACATTTATAAACAATTGTGCATCTCTTTTTCGACAAAAGTTTGTATTAGATGGAAGTTGTTTTCTGTGTACAGTAACATGACAATTAGATTTCCCTTTTATTTAAAGGGAGTAGTACATCCGTGGCATTAAAAAATTATACTCCTATAATAAAAAATATTTAAAGTGTTATAAGAGTATTGTTGCGAAATCGACAAGTATATCATTCGTTTCAAGTAATAAAAGTGATAAGTAAAGATCGTTTCCACGAGGATTAATGCACCAAGTATTAATTTAACTATTCTCCTTAAGTTGGAAAAGAAAATTGGTTTGATTTGTGAAATTAATTCAGTGTTGGAATTTTAAAAACAGAATTTTAAAAACAAGAATATTAAAAAGCATGCAAGAATTAATCAAGAACAGAAAGAAAATATGAATTTGATTAAAATTTGTAAAAAGACTGTAGGCAGGATGCACTTCACCTCCGATCCTCCCTTATATTCCTATATTGTATTTTATAATTAACTAATTGGTTTGCTCAGACAATTCATTATTTTCCTATAAAATAGTTGAACCCTAATGTCTTCATGATTTCAACCCTTTAATCCAATGAGAATTCTAATGTCTTAGTAATCCCCTCTTGAATTAAGCATTAAGCAAATGAATTATAAGTCTGCAATCTATGTAAGCCTATGTCTAGGTCATGCACAAATTGTTATTCTACCCTTGTCCAGACTAAAACCCCAATATGTCTATTGTGAGTTCTAACCCTCAAAGCCCTATAATTTAGAGTAATCAGTTCTAAACATGATATGGAAAAATTAACACAGGCAGAATAAAACAAACTAACTAATTAAATTATAAAAAAATAAAGAAAATATAAAGGATTCACATCGGGTCTGTGATCCCAACTACAAAAAGAAAACTAGCCAGACATATTTGGCTTTAACAAATTAAAATAATAAAAAGAATTCATGAAAACAATAAAGAAGAAGAAGAAGATGAAGGATCAATGGTCTTCGTTCTTCAACTCCGTCGGAATCCTGATCTCCAGCGTGAGCCTCCAAGAATTCTCTTCAGCCCAAGATTCTTTGTCTCTGAGGTCTGAGTCTCTATTTATAGAGTTTGTGCCTTGCTTAGAAATCTTGATCGAATCCTCATTGTGTATCTTGGTCCAATCTTCCTTTGATTCAATCTGAGATAGAATAAAGATTTTTCCGTACCTCCCGCGCTACTAGCGCCAGTTCGGCGCTAATAGCGTGGGAGTTCTGTTCAGCATACTGGAGGTTCACGCTACTACCGTGGTTACCTTGCTGATAGCGTGAGAGTTTTGAATGGCTGTAGCGCTACTAGCGTGAGAGTTCTGGATGAAAAAGTTCCTATGGCGCTACTAGCGCCACACCCGCACTAATAGCGCAGGGCTTCAGACTTGTGCTTCCAATTTGGACTTCTTTCTGGTCTGTTTTCCTACAAAATTAGTAGAAAATCAATGACAAGATATCTGATTAAGATTTATCAATTTAATAACAATTCTAGCCCTTTTTATTCAAGATTGATCAAGATTTTTTCTCTTTTTGGCTTAAAATCATATATATGCTGGAGGCATATCAAGTACCAATCATTAGGTACACACATTTACCAAATATAATAAAAAGTAACTTATTTACATTACCCACATTTTTATGTTGATTTTCACTCATCCCATTTTGTCAATTTTTGGTAAAGGAGTAGGTGCTCTCGTAGCACTTAAAATGTGCTTTTATCTTAGAAAATATTGACAGTGTTACATAAGGGTATCTATCAACCAATTCAAACTGATTTAAACTGCGATGACCGAACCAAAAAATCGATAACCGAAAATTGAAAAATTGAAAATCGAAAAAAAATCACATATTTGGTTGGGGAAAATAGATCCAATCTAAATTGATCCAATGTATTATGTATTTATTATTTTTGAAAGATGGTGACTTGGAATGTTGTTATTTTGTAGACATAGAATCTTGGATGTTATTGATACAAACTATCTTGTTTTAGTTTTTTATTATTTATTAATCTATTTTGAGTCTTCAAGAGTTTTAAGACTTGTTTTAGTTTGAAGATTTGGATTTTTTAATGGTTTGTAACTTTGAATGACTTTATTTTGATATAGGTAGTGATTTTATGGCTGAAATTTTAACCTTTTCAAAATATCGAAAACCAATCCAATCCAAACCGAATAAAAATGGATTGGATTGGATCGGATTTTTTAAAAAAAAATTCTAAACTGAATGGATGATTAAATGATTAAACCGAAGAAATTGGATTATATGATTTTTGCTTCGAAACCGATCAAATCTAGACCGCAAACACCCATAATGCTACAGCATTACCAAGCATTAGGTATATCATATACCAAATATGACAAAAATTACAGTACCTCCACCTTTATGGTTAGTTCCATTCATATCCCTTTTTCTTGTTCGAGATAAGCAAGTAAATATTCTCATAGCATTGAAAATGTGCTCTTATCTTAGAAAATAATTGCAGTGCTACGTGAGTACTGAGCATTGAATAGATCATTTACCAAAAATGGAAAAGGTAACTTACTTACACTATCCCTCCTTTATGATTATTTTCACTCATATCCCATTATTTTCTATTTTGAAAATGGAGCAGGTACTCCAGTAACATTGAAAATATACTCATATCCTAAAAAATTTATTTACATTACTATAGGAGTACAAAGCACTCGGTGAATCATTTATCAAATATAAAAAAATTATTATAACTACCTCCACCTTTATGGTTATTTCCATGCATATCCCATTTTTTCTATTTTAGTAAAGGATTAGGCACTCCCATAGCACTAAAAAATTCTCTTATCTTTAAAAATATATACAATATTAACCGAGCATTAGATATATCATTTACCAAGTATGGCAAAAAGTAACTTATTTAAATACCCCTACCTTTATGGTTTTTTTCAGCCATATGGCAAGATTTTCTGTTTTTGGTAAGGAAAGAGGTATTACCACAACAATGAAAATGTCTTTCTATCTTAGAAAATATTTAGAGTGCTACGAGAGTATCAAACACTCAATATGTCACTTGCTAAATATGGCAAAAGTAACATATTTACACTACTCTCTCCTTTATGATTATTTTCACTTGTATCCTAATTTTTTCTATTTTTGGTAATGGATTATGTACTTCCAAAGCACTGAAAATGTGCTCATATCTCAGAAAATATTTACTGTGCTATGAGAGTACCAAACACGGGGTAAATCATCTTCCATATGGTCAAAAATAACATATTTACACTACCCACATCTTTATAGTTATTTTCACCTATATCTCTTTTTATATATTTCTTGTAAGACATAATGTTCTCATGTAGCACTGAAAATGTGCTCCTATTTTAGAAAATATTTACAATGTTACGAGAGTACCGAGCATAGGAGACATTGTTTATCAAATATGGCAAAAAAATAGCATACTTATACTACCCCCACATTTATGGTTATTATCTCCTATATCCCATTTTTTATATTTTTGAAAATGGAGTAGGTACTCTCATAGCATTGAAAATGTGTTCCTATCTTAGAAAATATTTACAATGCTACAAGAGTAACTAACGACCATTGGGCATATCATTTATCAAATATGGTAACGAGTAACATTTTCCCTACCACCACCTTTATGATTATTTCCACACACCCCATTTTATTCTGATTTTGTTAAGGGAGTAGGTACTCCTGTATCATTGAAATATGCTCATATTTTAGATAATTTTTACAGTGCCATGAGATTACCGAGCACTGGATTCATCATTTAACAAATATGGTTAAAAAGTAATCTATTTACACTACCCCACCTATTTGGTTATGGATTTGGATCCTCTCATGTTAAAAAAAAATATATGACATGATCATATGGGTGAATCATAACCATACAAAGGTAGATCAATGATGATAAAAGAGAAAAAAATATATTAAAATAAATAGTTACAAAATTATAACTATTGATTCACCTCTATATCGTTGTAATATTCCTCGTGACTCTAAAATTGTGTGTCGGTGCTTTGTTGAAACTAACAACACTTAAAATGCTACAAAAAAGACCAACTAAATAAAGAAACCCGTAACACCAATGTAGGATAGGGTTTTCATGGAACCATTTCTCCCATTATAAAGGAGATTTGCGCACTCACCCCTTAGAAGGGCTAAGGTAGTTGGCCTTTTGAATTGGGCTCCATGACCTTCGGCCTAAGCCCAAGTCTGGTCTAGAACACTTTTTAAATCTTATATTCTTAAACAAAAAACGAAAATCTTATGGCATAACACAAACTCAACAGAATTAACTCTCGAGTCTCGAAGATCTCATTTACGGAATCCAATTCACTTAGCAAATATATTTCATGCTTCGATGATAGAAGAACAGCATATTCAAAGCCTAGCTACATTAAAAGAATCTCAAAATTCTTTTAGCTTCTACTGAAAACTATGCCATACAACAAAATTTTAATGTAAAAAAGAATCTCAAGAGAGAAACCGAGACAAGCGAGAGCCACTCCAATTGAAGTGCTCTTGAATCTTAGCAATTCTCTACAAATTGGAAATCAGAAACATATATATTCCTCCTATCTTAACATCTTCGCTTCTCTGCGATTTCTGAGCTACATTTAACATTGTATGTTCCTTCAGACAATTACATCGGTAAATAAAATTTAATGAGGCACCAGGGGATTGCCTCCTGAATTCATACTCATAGGTAAAGAAATCTCCAAGTGGCAGGCAAAATTTGAAGTTATTATCGTCTTGGATCCAATCACAGAACCTCATGAGCCTTTCCGTAATATCTGTTTATGAATGGAGACTGCCAACACAAAGAATGATATTATACACATTAAATATGCAAGAAAAATACATTCTGAATGTAATCAAGTAATCAACTAGAAGTTCATGACAGAAAAATATTTTAACTTCAGTAGCATTTGCTCACACCTAAATGCCAAAAAAACAGGCCAACTTCGTGCTAAACCAGCTTAAAAGGGATATAAACTTCCGTAAACAAAATGGTTGTTTTCATAAATGTTGCTATGATAACTTCTTTTCCCTCCAATGATAGTAAGCAGCATCACATTCAGTGTAAACCAGTTTCTCCAAAAAAATATATATATATAATAAAGAAAACAAAGAATCTCACATGCCTGTTTCTCAAGATAATTGACTATAGAGAAAACTCAGATAATATTAACTTAGATGATATGGGGTAATCCTTATACAATGAAGCATAAGAGTCTGTTTAAATTGACAGAACACATCACGGAAGTAGACTGGCTAACATTTCTAAGATTTCTCACTTCTGATGTGGACTAGCTAGTTGCGTTTATTAAACCGAGTATAGCCTTTCCATCATTTGTTCTTTGGCATCTCCCCTATCATTATTAGATGTATATTTTTTTTAGACATATGCAAGTGCATGAAACTAAATTGCCTGTGCTCTTCCTCAACATTCATCGTAAGTCTTAAATTTCCGATGAGAAAATTACTAATTCAAGGGCACAAATTGATGCTTTAATGTGAAAATAGGATGTTTGGAACACAATCTCCAAAAAATTTCATTTTAGAATGCCCAAACACCTACCTTAAAATTTGATACATCAGGTGCATCTGGACTTTGCACGGGGTAGAACTTATAAAATCTCATGCTCTCAAATGCAGCTTTAGCTTCCTCACTCATTTCTTCAACGGCTTTTCTTCGAGCTTCCCTTGCCTATAAGAGACAAAATAGGTAAAATGCAGGAAGCAGCAACACATGATCATGCAACAATTAAGATGTTAGATGAAGGCAAATGAATGGTTTTATATTTTATATTATATTTCTAACACGCTCCCTCACACAAGATTCCATTAAGCTAAAAGAGTGATCAATGCATAGATTCATCTACCTGTGCTAAGAAATTTTACAATATTCATTAAAAGAATAGGAGCAACAAGGATCAAACTCCAGATCACTTGATCATAAAGGCTCTAATACCATATCAGGCAACCAATTCTCCCAAAAGTTTAAGCTGTTACATAAGTGCAAATAAATGGTTTTATATTTTATATTATATTTCTAACATGATGTGCCAAACCAAAAGCAAAAATACCTCTCTATTAGCTTTCTTTGCTTCACGTACTTTTCCCTTGACAAATTCCTAAAACAGTTAAAGGATCAGTCTGATGCCTGCTTGAAATAGTTGGAAAGCATGAATCAACTATTGATTTCCACTACTTAGTAGTACCTTAAAGGCATCTTTTTGATCTTCTGATAACTCCTCCTCTATGAGCTTATCAGTGAACTCCTGCAGAATATAGAATAATTTAGGGCATGAAGTCTTTGTCTATTATTACATTCTTTTCTAGATATCCTTCGTTGTTATCCTCTCTTTATGAGGAGTTTCAACGTGGAGAAACAATCAAACAGAGACAAAGCACTGATAAACAAAAAACTTCTCTCCTCACGTCTGTGTCTTACAAGTCCCATCTCTTACACAGATATGTCAAGATTTTTAAGAACTCAATAACATAGTAACATGCTACTTATTGTAAGAAGACAACGGTAATTGAAAATGACAATCCCAAGAAACAATAAAGTTCCTGCAGAATAATGTCAAGCACGATGATAACTGGCTATTGTATTGTATGATTGTAAGTTTCTTTTATTAAAAAAAAATAATAACCATACTTTCTACTTTAAAAACTACAACCTCTAGCAGGTTTAATCAAATATATTCTAAACTACAAACTTTAGAAAGTTAATTCGTTACCTCCAGTTCATCTAATTCCCAATCAAATTCACAGAAGACCTGCAAAAAACAAAACATAAGTAAGCATGTAGAAAACCGAATATGGCAGTAAACTGGCTTATCTTGACAATAGAAAGTTGCTTAGAAGATTCAATATGCAAACATGTCATATAAAAAAGGATCCCAAGCAATCCAAAGACTGTCAATTCACTTTGTAAAATTTTTCTCAATCATCATTACCGGTGTTGGCTCTGCTGGAAATATTATTTGAACCTCAGTGCTCTGTTCCAGTTCATCTTCCTTAAATGGCTGGTAGAAATCTGTGAAAAGAATAATGGTTGAAGAATACAATAAACAAATCCTCTTATAACAATGGTAAAAAGATAACATTTATCTTCTTTCCGCTATTGCCTACAAGTATACAACTACTATACATATTCATGTGATCAATTATACTCTAAAGCCAGAAACTCACAAGGCAAGCAGTACTCATATTTCTTTACAAGATCCAATTTCAGATGTTTTAACCCAGCCCTGTATCACAAAGATTCATATCACAAGTAAGATAAAAGCCATTCATAAACATGCTACATCAAGGGATAATAGTGGATGGATATAAAATCTTAACAAGAAACTATCAATAGCTACTATAGTAAAGGGTCAACTCATCAAGCTGGATATAGTTAATCAGCTTCCAAACACTTTTAAGATGGCAGAAAATATCAAAGCCCTATACTTTCAGTTTTCCCAATTAACATTTTATTTAATTGTCAATAGAATTAGAATCACATATCAATTTATATATTTCATAACATTTACTCTCAAGGATGGTTCGAATCCAGAAAACAACTTCTTTGCAAATATACAAGGATAAAGTATCATACAAAAATTGCCATCACCCTACCCTCGCCAGTGGGGAGTGATTTATTCACTCTCAAGAGATCAAGAGAACTAAACAATGCAGGTATGCCTGTAGTTCACATGTCACAAAGCTAGAAAGATTCAATCTATTTCTGTATCTATGTGCTGAAAACCACAGCAATTGGAATCAAGGACGAAATTTACAAAATGTTATCTAATACAAGTACAGTTGCATCAGCAACAGAGAGCGTGATTCACATGTAAGCTGTTTAAGAAACAAAACTCCTATTATAAGTAGAAGCTCATCCCACTTAACAGCTTGTCTTTAAGGAGTGGGTTCTCCTCTCCTCTACATCAGATGGTACTAGAGCCTGGTTTTACAACCCTCCAGAAAGGATGTGATGTAGATTGGGCTATTAATTTTGCTATTTAATTTATGGTTTTAATTTCACAATTAGAATTTTTTTATTTGGGATTATTCATTGCAATATGTTGAGGATTATTCCAGATTAGAATAGGAATAACTTATTAAGGTGTTTGGCTATGTTGAGTTTATAAATAGACCACTAATTTAAATATTGAGATGCCTTTGATTATTATATAAATTAATATTTCCTTTATTTAGAGATTATCTAGTATTTGAGTCACAAGAGCACTCCGTTATAGAGGATTAAGTACTCTAGGTTTATCAAGGGAGTAACCTGCCAAGAGAAATACTCTTGGATAGTCTTACATCAGGATGGATCACTCCTTCCAACCTAGTAGGATTGCCACACAAGTGTGAGTTCAATATCAGATGGTTGTGAGGCACTTAACTCCCATTTAAAGTAAGGTTCTCCCCTCTAAAGTTCTTAAGAGCTTGACTTTGAGATTGGGCTCTGCTCTAGATCAGCCTGTTAAAAAAGAAAGCATGTGCTGGAAGTTATAACATTGTAGACAGCAGAGAACCATGCTGGCACCAAAGTAGTTCTAACCCACCTCTCCTATCAACCTCTTGAAAAAGTATTATTATTTATCAAAACAAGAATAAAATAAATTTGAAAATTAGAGAATCACGCAGAAATTTGAAAAACTACGATGACATGTAGGAAAAGAGAATGATGCAACTGATGCACAACCAATCAAAACACAATAGGATCAGTTTATAGCTCATAAAATTTACCTTGAAAATGAAAAGCAATAGTGACTATAAAAGTAGATAGGAGGCAAAAGTGGAAGGACAAGAAGACTTTTTAAGCCCGGAACCTTACGACATGAAGAAAAATGTTCCTCCTAATACAACCATTGACACAATAGAGGAGGGAGGGGGAGGGGTTGACTCTGGCACTCAAAAAAAACATATCAAGTTCTAAGTGAGAATGTTCTCCAAAAGATAAAATTTTTCGGAGCAAATCTGTTAAATCAGAACTTGTAACGAATCAAACATTTTTTTTATAGTAATGAATACTCATCTTGAAACCTAAGAGTTTGAAACAGGTAATTGTTGAGCTGTATACAATCAATAATTAATTTGATTTTGATTGTGTTAGCAATTATAGGAATTAATTGTAAATAGAATTGATTGATAAGAGACATCAATTCTATGATTTTAATTTTATTTTTTTAGAGTGATTTGTGGCTTGATTGAAGCCCAAAATTAGTATATATAATTATCTCTGTACAAAGGAAGAAATACACAAATTCCATTGTTTGACATGGTATCAAATTTTTTTCCAAGGAAAAGACTTTGTAAATCTATTTCTCACATAGTGGTCATATCTCATCTTCTGTAAAATCCCAAATTCCTAATTTTTCTTCGACAATATGGAAAACATTGGACCTGCAAACCCTACCCCTTCCACAAATTTCTCACCCCAGAATATAATCATCCAACAAGACAATTCATCCCTCCTTGTATCTGTCATTCTGGATGAATCGAATTATCCTTTATGGTCTCAACTTATGGATATGCGTATTGGCGCTCGTAACAAAGCTGGTTATCTCACCAGTGCTGCGAAGAAACCGTAAGCTGATGATCCTGCATATGATGTGTGGATTATTGAAAACAAACGAGTCAAAAGCTGGCTCATTGACTCTATGACCCCCACCCTTATACATCGTTTCATCCGACTCGAAACGGCCAAAGAAATCTGGGATGCCTTATCCAAAACCTTTTATGATGGCTGCGACGAGACTCGCCTATTTGAAGTGAACCAAAGATCGTTCTCCACCAAGCAACAAGGACGTCCTCTGTCCGTTTATTTTAACGAACTTGTGTCTATTTTTCAGGAAATCGATCATCGTTCCTCTTCTTAGGTTGACACTGTTAATGGTGTCCTTCAAATGCAGTCTGTCATGTCTCACCTTCGCGTGCACAACTTTCTTAGTGGCCTCGACTCAGAATTTGATCAAGTACGTGGAGAGATCCTGCATAAAGACCCCAAATTGGACCTTGAAAGTGCCTATGCATATGTTCGTCGGGAGTTTCAACAGAAACAAACCATGAGTACCACCAACTTTGTTCCTGAACATTCAGCCCTTCTCACTCAACCACCACGCCAAGGACCAACCTTTGCACCTGGCAAGCCTCGCAGGGACTCCTCTTCTGGAAAATCCAACACCTTCCTTTGCTCTCACTGCGGCGAATCTAACCATTCTAAGCAACGATGTTATGAAGTGATTGGCTACCCTGAATGGTGGGACTTTACCAAACGTCCCCGAAAAAAGTTTCCTGTTAAGGCTATGCTTGCCTATGATGCACGGACATGGACACGGACACTGGACACGACACGACACGCTGACACGTTAATTCTAAAAAATGTCATATTTCGACACGTGGGGACACGTTTTGATATTAAATAAAAATTTTAATATACATAATATAATTTATATTTTATACATATAAGAGTTCATAATAAGTCATATAACCAATCAAATATTTAAATTTCATAACATAAATATAAATATAAATAATTTTTCGTACTTTGTTAATTTTTCATGTCAAATTTTATAACAGAAAAAAATTAATTTATAAATTATTCTTTTATATTTAGTTAACAAAATAAAATTAAGATTTAAAAAAAAAAAAGTTTCTGAGCGTGTCCGAGCGTTGACCGCGTGTCGGAAAAAGTTGACTGTGTGCCGGAAGAACGTGCCGAAGAGTTGACCGCGTGTCCCCAAATGTCGGACGCGTGTCCGAGCGTGTCCGTGTCGGACACGTGTCCGACACGCAAATTTTAAAAAAAACTTCGTGTCGGTGCTTTGGAGATGCTTGCTTCCCCTGCCAAAGACGCACCTTCTCCCATTGCTAATGTTGCCCAATCAGGTATTATTGGTAAATCTCTTGCCCTTTCTGCAAATTCTAGGAACAATACTTGGATAATTGATACCGGTGCTTCATATCATATGATTTCAGATTCGAGTAACCTGCACTCCTTATCCCCTTCTTCTCAATCCATCATACATACTGCTAATGGTAGCACATCTTTATTACTGGTGAAGGGTCTATTATCTTATCTGACCACATTAAACTTGATTCAGTTCTGATTGTTCCATCTCTTGATTACAATTTGTTGTCTGTTGGTCAACTTACCACTGCACTTAACTGCACTGTCACTTTTTGGCCTACATTTTGTGTTTTTCAGGACATTCCCACTCGGATGATTCTTGGTTATGGTGTTAAACGAGACAAGCTTTATTACTTCGAGATCACCAATAGTGGAATGAATAAGTTGGGCAAGGCATGTCACACCAGCAGTGAAGATAAGGCCCGAGCAACCATATGGCTTTGGCATAGGCGTTTAGGACATCTTTCCTTTAGTTACCTTAAGAAATTGCAACCACATTTGTTTTCAACTTTGAATTCCTATGATTTCCATTGTAGTACTTGTGAATTGGCTAAAAGCCATCGTATTCCTTATTTCCCAAGTAGTAATAAAAGTTCTATTCCTTTTGAAGTTATTCATTCGGATGTATGGGCCCTGCCAAGGTCCCTTCTTTCTCTAAGGCATGTTATTATGTTACTTTTATTGATGAATGTACCAGGATGACTTGGGTAAGCTTATTAAACAAGAAAGGAGATGTTTTTATGGCCTTTAAACACTTCCTCAGCATGGTTAGCATCCAATATCAGTGCCAAATTCGTGTTTTACAAGTTGTTAATGGGATGGAGTATCTTGATAGGAATTTTACTGATTTTCTTAGTCACATGGCATAAGGCATCAAACTTCCTGCACTTACACTCCACAACAGAATGACTTGGCTGAGAGGAAGAACCAACAACTTATGGAAGTAGTTCGGACATCCCTATTTGGCATGAATATGTCTCGAACTTATTGGGGAGAGGTTGTGAAATCAGCTGCATACTTGATTAATCGTACTCCCTCTCGGGTCTTGGCTTTTCAAACTCCTCAACAAAAGTTGCAGTCTTTTTTTTCTATCCCTCATATTCCAAACTTTGAGCCTAGGGTCTTTGGTTGCACTGTGTATGTTCATATCCCCAAACCTCTGCGCACCAAGTTAGATCCTTGTGCTAAGAAGTGTGTATTTGTGGGTTACTCAGATCTTCAAAAAGGATACCGGTGTTATGATCCCATCCTTCACAAAATGCATATTACTCTGGAAGCATCTTTTCGAGAATCTGAGCCTTATTACTCAGGGGGAGCCTCCGAGACTTCTCCTCAGGGGGAGAGCTATAGTGGAGAAGAAGTCCTCTTTGATGGATGGAATCCAACCAAGAGCAACTCTTCCCCAATAACTGAAAATGCTTCTGCCCTTGATGGACTTCCACCTGTTATCACTACCCTTGATTATGCCCCTGCTGATATGGTGCATACTCCATCTACTGAACTTCCAACTTTAACACCCATAACAGAAGAATCATCTAGGGATGTCACTGATACCTCACCCGAGGAAAATACTAAGGTACCTTCTTTCTCAACTCCATTTGATTTACCTGAAACACATATTCCTACTGAAAATATCTTAGATCCTCCACATATTAATATTAGGTGTTCCTTGAGACCTAACAAAGGTGTGCCAAAAAATCAATATGAACCAAACCCAAAAGCAAATGTTAAATATCCAATTAGTAGTTATGTATCCACTCATAGCTATCTGAATCGTATCCTCTGACGGTTAATCAATTGTCCAGTGTATCTGTTCCTAACAATTTGCAGGAGGCCTTACATGATCCAAGGTGGAAGAAAGCAATGAATGAGGAAATGGAAGCATTACAAAAGAACTCAACATGGGAGCTAGTTCCCTTGCCAAATGGAAAGAAAACCATAGGGTGCAAATGGGTGTTCACAGTTAAACTAAAAGCAGATGGAAGCATTGATAGGTACAAAGCTAGACTGGTAGGAAAAGGATACACACAGAAGTACGAAGTAGATTATCAAGACACTTTTGCCCCGATTGCAAAACTCAATACTATTCGAATCCTTCTGTCTATTCTGCAAACAGAGATTGGCCCCTAAAAAAATTTGATGTTAAAAATGCCTTTCTAAATGGAGATCTTGAAGAGGAGGTCTATATGGAGATACCACCAGGTGTCAAAAAGAGCTCCATGGGAAAGAATGAAGTTTGCAAATTGAAGAAAGCTTTATATGGGCACAAGCAATCACCTCGAGCCTGGTTTGGAAGATTTTCTCAAGCCGTGAAGAACTTTGGGTATAACCAAAGTAATGCAGATCATACTCTCTTCATAAAGAACAAAGATGGAAAGGTAACAGCATTGATTGTGTATGTTGATGACATGGTTTTGACTGGTGATGATCCATGCGAAATGAAGTTATTACAGAAGTATCTAGCAACTGAATTTGATATGAAAGATTTGGGACAACTCAAATACTTCTTAGGCATCGAGATTGCTCGAACTAAACAGGGAATCTTTCTCTCTAAAAGAAAATATGTACTGGATCTTCTTGCTGATACAGGATTGCTTGCATGCAATCCAGTGGAAACACCTATAGAGATGAACCATACACTTGGTATCTTCCCCAATCAAGTCCCAACCGATATTGGCAGGTATCAAAGGTTAGTTGGTAGACTAATTTATTTATCGCACACTAGGCCAGATATAGCTTATGCCATAAGTGTTGTGAGCCGCTTCATGCATGCTCCTAGTGTGGACCATATGAATGATGTATATCGAATTCTTAGGTACCTAAAGGGTGCCCCAGGACGAGGTTTGTTGTTCTCAAAAAATAACACTTCATGCATTGAGGGATATACAGATTCTGATTGAGCTGGCGATCAAACCACCAGGAAATCCACTTCTGGTTATTTCACCTTTGTGGAAGGCAACTTGGTGACTTGAAAAAGTAAAAAACAAAAAGTTGTAGCAAGGTCAAGTGCAGAAGCTGAATTTTGAGGTATGACTCATGGTGTGTGTGAATTATTGTGGATCAAAAGTGTCCTAAAAGATTTAGGAGTTTGTTATGACCATCCTATTAACCTGCACTGTGATAACAAAGCTTCCATTGAAATTGCACACAACCCAGTTCAGCATGATCGGACTAAACATGTGGAAGTAGACAGACATTTCATCAAGGAGAAATTAAATCAAAAAATTATACACTTTCCTTTTGTAAAATCTGAAGATCAACTTGCTGATATATTGACTAAAGCTGTGTCTGGGAAGGTGTTTCAAGCTGCTATTGGCAAGTTGGGCATGATAGATATTTATGCTCCAACTTGAGGGGGAGTGTTGAGTTGTACACAATCAATAATTAATTTGATTTTGATTGTGTTAGCAATTATAGGAATTAATTGTAAATAGAATTGATTGATAGGAGACATCAATTCTATGATTTTATTTTTTTAGAGTGATTTGTGGCTTGATTGAAGCCCAAAATTAGTATATATAATTATATTCTATACAAAGGAAGAAATACACTATTTACAAAAAAAAAAAAGGAAGAAATACACAGATTCCATTATTTGACAGTAATCAATACAGACTGTGAGAGGAAGTGCAAAGAGAAAGCAATACCTTCTTTGGGTGCAACGCAATATAAATATTTGAGACTTCACTCTATCAACTTGGCTTTCTCTGTTCAAGACAAAAATAATTATATAAAGAAGAAGTTCAAAGATGACGATGAAGCAATTTTTTGAAGAAACCACCAAGTATATACAAATTGGGAAGAATACCTGTCCTCCAAGGGGATATATGGAACCCAGCCCATTTTCATTTGTTTCATGGGAATTATCTCTTCAGCCTCTTTCTGGATTGAGTTAATCCCAATTTTATCAGATGGTGGTAAAGGTGATACAACCTGTTCACAAAAGGAAGTTGAAACATTTCTTATATTTATATAACAATGAAGAATAGAGTTCACAATCATCAAAATTGATACAATTACAACCTTGGCACCCAAAAGGCTAAGCATAAGTATTTCAATATGTGCAAGAACGATGCCCCACAAGGAGTGACACACAAACCACATCAAGAAAGCACAAATGACTATCGTTATTTGCACAATCAAATGATCCAATTTTCATCCAAAACAGCTCATAAGCAATAATCAATTTAGCCAACACATGTAAAATGTAGACAAATCGCGGTTTGACAACTTACAGCTACAACAACAGGTACGCAGGCAACTTTGCTTTCATCTTTAAACGAAACCAGTTGAGCTGAAAGATGTCACGAAGTATAAGAGATAAGACAAATGAGCTATCAAGTTCAAGCTGAATCCTTGCGAAATAAAAATGAAACACTGAAGCTTGCGAGCTACTTACGCTCAGTGCAACCAAAGAGATAAACTTTTTTCCCATGCAGCACACCACCCTCTTCAAATGCATTCTGAACACAATTTAATGACCAAATTAAGCAATTAATAAAAGCCAGCACTTCAACATTCATCAACAATGAAAATCTAAGAGGAAACTTGTCTTTGGTCACAATACTCACTTCCAGGTTCGAGAAATTCCAGTTGTATTGATAGACAGAATCCAATTGATCCCACTGGCATTGTAATGAGAGTTAGTAAGAAAAACACGAGACAGCAAGCAATCAACTTACTTATAAAAGAAGAAGAAAATCTACGAAATAAACAAACCTCTGTTCCAACAGGGAATGTTTCTATCCATAAGTCTTCCTACAAATATTTATCAGTAAAAGCAATGAACTTTAGCATATTTGGGTGATTTGATAACACGGGTAGTAGTAATACGAAGCGTTTTACATGAACAACTATCAAAACGAGAAAGATATTCAAATTGGAAAGTAGGTTGTGTACCAAGTTGCGCTTATCCTCGAAGTACTCGTCGGGTTTGGAAGGCTTAGCTGGTTTAGTGGATCGCTTCTTGTTTTGTTTGGGTTCTTCTTCGTGGTGCCTCGTTTTCCTCTTCGTTCCTTTCCTCATTGTGAATCTAGAGAGAGAGAGGATTCAATTCAAATGTAGAGAGAGAGAGAGAGAGAGAGAGAGAGAGAGAGAGTGGAATTTTTAGCTGAAGGCATGCGTGAGTTCAACGCGGAGGGAGAGGGTCAAAATTTGAAGGCGGGGAAGGTTTTGTATAACAAAGTTTGGAATTTATTGCTTTTCAAAATTACCACTCACATCAGAGATGAGATATAGAAATATAAAAATTCAACTTGTTTTTGGAGATATAGAAATATAAAAATCAAACGCGCCATGAATTTTTCGGACACGCAGACAACTTTTTAAGACACGCAGTCAATGTTAGGACACGCTCGGACATGTTTTTTTTTTAATTTTAATTTTATTTTGTTAATTAAATATAAAAGAAATAATTTATGAATTAATTTTTTTCTGTTATGAAATTTGACATGAAAAATTAACAAAGTACAAAAAATTATTTATATTTATATTTGTGTTATGAAATTTAAATATTTGATTGGTTATATGACTTATTATGGATTCTTATATGTATTAAATTAAATTATATTATATATATGAAAATTTTTATTTAATATCAAAATGTGTCCCAACGTGTCCAAATATGACATCTTTTAGAATTAACGTGTCGGCGTATCGTGTCGTGTCCCGTGTCCCGTGTCCGTGCATCATAGGGTGGCAATGTAACATCCCGAGCGCTGACGAGGGCGGGGAGTGATCGCCGGTGCAAAGAGGCACGGACAAGGAACGGCTCCTGACAGGCTTCCAGCGGGGGGTTACATGCATGAATGAATTGAATCGACACCCGAAAGAGAGGGATTCCAAAGATTGTGCAGGTGTGAGACTGCACAGTTTGGGAGAGCTTATAAGAATTAATTGGTACTACCTATGCCAACAAGATGCATCTTCTTTTCAATAGCCCGGAATGGAAGAACTCCACAGTTAAGCGTGCTTGACTTGGAGCAATTATGGGATGGGTGACCTCCTGGAAAGTTTTCCCAAGAAGTGTGCGAGTGAGAAAAAACACACTGAAAAGTCTCGTGTTAGTATGTGGGGGTAGTCATTGATTCTTAAAGCGACCGGGCGTTACAAGTGGTATCAAAGTAAGGCCTCTCTTCTAGTACGGTGTGGTTCGAGGATGAATCAGGCGGAAGCTAGTGGGCATGTAACATCCCGAGCGCTGATGAGGGCGGGGAGTGATCGCCGGTGCAAAGAGGCACGGACAAGGAGAGGCTCCTGACAAGCTTCCAGCGGGGGGTTACATGCATGAATGAATCGAATCGACACCCGAAAGAGAGGGATTCCAAAGATTGTGCAGGTGTGCGACTGCACAGTTTGGGAGAGCTTATAAGAATTAATTGATACTACCTATGCTAACAAGATGCATCTTCTTTTCGGTAGCCCGGAATGGAAGAACTCCATAGTAAAACGTGCTTAACTTGGAGCAATTCTGGGATGGGTGACCTCCTAGGAATTTTTCCCAGGAAGTGTGCGAGTGAGGAAAAAGTACACTGAAAAGTCTCGTGTTAGTATGTGGGGATAGTCATTGATTCTTAAAGCGGCCGGGCATTACAGGCAAAGTGGCCTCAACTAGTCTCGTTAGCTCATTTAACCCACCACTAATGGCAATTTGGGTTGTATCAACTCGTTAACCTCTTTGACTGCCCCACTTAAGGATGGATCAAAACATGTTTAACTCGTTCTGTCGGGTTAATTTTAATTTTTTTGAAAAATAATGAATGACATTTTTTACACTTTTTATCTTTATTTAATACTTTTTACATCTACGAGGAGTATAACTTTTGAAAAAAAATATTATTTTCTAATATCTTAGCTGGTTGGCGAGGCAAGGAAAGTTGAATAAAGGTTGCAAAGTGGGCCGACCTGTAAGAACCCGTACCGTTAATTAAGAAAATTAATTAATTAATTATGAGAAAATAAGAAATGATTCCATAATTGACCCTAATAATTATTTAGAGGCTCTAATAATTATGGTAAGTGATTAAGAATGCTGAAAGTCGTTTTTCGAAAGAAAAGTGCAGATACCGGTTCTGCTAGTCGGTATAAATGCGTACTAAAAAAGTATCCCGAAAAATTATAATAAGTGCACGATAATTACTAGAATATTATATAGGACTTGTAAAACGAGTTTCAAGTCCAAATAATGAGAACTAGTACCAGAAACTGATACTGGCTATGAAAAGCGCGTATCAGAAAGGTGCTCAGAAAAATGTAATAAAAATATGAAAATTCTTGTAAAATTGAGTAGGTTAAGAATCCAAAGTTTGGGATTAAAATGCTAAGCGTAGCAATTAAAGCTAATACTGCGTGTTTTATTGCTAAGTGGCTATAAATACTCTCTTTAAGGGCACTCAACCCTAGAAAACAGACTTTTGAGCGTGAGTGTTGACTGGTCAGGTTGTTGAGCACTGTTCCATAGCCTTGGTGCCTCCTTGTGTGAGCTTGAAGCCTTTTCTTCCACTTTTCTTCATCAAAATGCCTTACTTGAGTAAAAGTGACCCTTGAGGTTGAGTGTGAGGGTTTGTTTCTTAGTGGTGGCCACTGTGTTGGTGGTGCTTGAGGGCTGTGTTCTGAGTTGGGGTGAAGGGGTTCATTTTCTTGGTGCTTGATGCTCCAAGAAGCTACCCTGTGAAGGAAAGATCCCACATTGTTGCTCCATTTTCGTATCTTGTCCTGGTTAGAACCTTGGAGTGGTCTTGTGAGCTCCAAGAGCACCATTGTTGGGCTGCTTCAAGCTTTGGTAAGCCTTACAACCTTTGATCATGAGTTTAATGGGTTAAAGTTGATGTCTTGGCATGTTTAATGAGTTAAGCAAGTAACCATCAGTTGTATGAACCTTAATGTGCCTAAAAATGCATGCTTTAACGTGTTTAAGTGTTAAAAATGGAACCTTGGAAGGATATCTTCACGAAATGCAGTTTTTGCATTCTGTCGTGAAATATCTGGATATTTCAAATATCCGGATATCTGTCCGTGAAATATCCGGATATTTGATATCTGGATATGGGATTTGGATATCCGGATATTGGATATCTGGATATTTGAATCTAGATATCCGGATATTGTATATCCGGATATGGTTAGTGAGATATCCGGATATTGCATATCCGGATATGTCCCCCAGGAATATCCGGATATTCTGGGATTTCGTAGAACAGTAGCTGTGCTGTGAGGACAGTAGGCCATTGGGGGTTTTGGGACCCTAGATTGATGAAATTGAACTTCTGTAATTAATGAACTAAGTCAGAATCATCTGATTAAGGGCTTGTGGCTTTTTTGGAAGCCTTAAGACGTAAATCGTTAAAGGAGAACGTAGTCTTTATGTTAATGCTTTTGAGTTACGTATGTTGATACACTTGCTGGTCCTAAATCAGATTGTGATCTGCTGTGTGTTGGACTTGAGCGGTGAGGACTCTTGGCATTGGATAGTGAGCTTGCAAGGTAAGCTTTCGTGTCCTCGGTTTATCCATGTTGTGGTTCCACCATGTCCCATGGGGATATGGTTATATGCATGATGTGTTACATGCTTTTGATGTTTTGGAAATGCTGTTGAGCTATTATATGCTAGTGCCTTTATGATATGCATGTGGTGTTCCACCTATACGGTAAGCCTGAGTATGTGGTACATACAAGATGGTGAGGCTGTGAGTGAGGTGCAAGCGGTGTTCCTTGTACTACGTGTGGGTAATAGACATATTCCTGCATTTCTCTGGCCAGTAGAATAGTATCAACACACATGGCACGAATATCTGTTGCACTGCATAGTTTTGGAACTGATATTGATATAAATGCTTTTAGAACTTATATTGCACATGTAAGTGAGCTTGGGGTGGAAGATCTTTGAGGACCCCTTGTCTTACTGAGATTTCTGGTTTAGAGATCTCACCCCACGTTTGGAGAATGCTTATTTCAGGGTCAGGTAATGTTGAGACCTCAGGCGGCAGGAGGCCGAAGCTGAGTTAGATATTGATGATATTATATGCTGACATGTTGGATGCTGGATATGCTTGCTGTTTTTATGCTTTTAGCTTCATGTTATGATTTTGGATTATCTTGTTTAGACGTTGTTGATTTGGTGAGCATGGGGATTGTCCATACCACGTAGACTTGTTATGTCTTGCTGTTATTAGAGTTGTATTAATGTATCAGGATATTGTCCGGATTACGTGATGTAATGTCGTGACTTAGATACTTACTTTATATGTTATATTGAGGTATTTCAGTAGATGTCTTATTGCAATTTACATTCAAGCGATATTTTGTGAAATTGATTAAGTAATCAAGTTGGTAACTGATAATGACGTCATAATTGAAAAGAAAAAGAATATTCCGCATTTTTAATTAAGCGTAACTTAATACGATATAATGATAACATTACCGGATATATACGGGGTGTTACATGACCTATCCCGACATGCTCCCAACCCGCCAAAAACAGGTTGTGGCAGGATGGCCTGCCTCTTGAATGTGGGTTACAAATATTAACCCGCATCATTTTATGGTGGGTTGGCAAGTCAACCTGTTTAAAAAATAAAAAATAATTAACATTTACTAATAAATTATATTTTATGAATTTTATAATATTATTTCATTTCATTTCACACTTCCTTTAGTTTTTTCAATCTCAAACCTAAATGTATGCTAATATTTAGTCAGACATTCTTTAGGAACTCGTTTTTGCCTCAATATATAGATAATTTTTATCATAAATAAAGTCTTTCTTCTTTATTTTTTCTAGGGGAGTACTAAGATAAAATTTTTTGGATATCACAAAAGCTTAGTGACAAATAAAATACTACTTAACAGTAAAATGAGTTAATAAACGACAGAATTTGGCAAAAATAAGGGTGATCCCACGCCCTGAAGGGGGTGTCTTATGCTCAGAGTGTCGAATTCCTTTGGAAATAGAACTCCTGAAACCAGTCACTTACACAGAAGTCTGACCGATCGCCCAAAACCGCACACCGTAGTGCAGAGAATTCAATAATTGAGACAAGATGCATTACCATATGCAGGATTCGATGCAGAAACAGAAATGCAGAACACAAATGCAGAAATGCAAAAGAATACAAAATCATAAATAGGAAAACAAGACGACACAGTGTTGGAAGCACAGATGCAAACGCACACAGAATGCAGATGTAGAAAACAATGCAGAAAACAAGCAAGTGCATAATTGATGCGGAAAAGATGCAGAAAAACTAAAAAGATGTAGAAAAATTATGCAGAAAAAAATCGTAAGCAGAAAACAACAAACAGATAAATCAAAATGAAAACTGCAGAAAAACAATTTTTTATTTTTTAAAATAGAAGCAGAAAAATGAAAATTAAAAGAAGAAGAAACAGAAAAATCAAAACGAAAATTGCAGAAAAAGAGAAATATTTTTTTAAAAAGAACATAAACAAAAAAAAATGAAAATAAAAAATAAAATAAAAAGAAGAACAAGAAAATAGAAAAATTAGAGAAAGAAAAAGGAAAGAGAAAGAACGCTATTGACGCGCAGATTCCTTGGCAACGAAGCCAAATTTGACGTGCGCTGTCAAACTCACGCAAATTACCGTTCTTAGGTTTGTAGTGATAGGGCAACTCGGATCGTCTCCCAAAGAACCTGCTAGAAATCAGAAACACTTTGTAAAAAAAAAATTAAAAAGAAAGGGATTTTGTTGATTTGAAATTTAAATAAAAACAGATTTAAAATTTGAATTTAAAAATTAGAATTAAAAAGCAATCAACCTAAGGAATCAGGATTCAATAAATTATTTCATCATTCGATTAAAAGATAAAATTATCAATTTGTGATTAACCCCAATAGAATTCGGAATCCTCAAATTCAATTGGAAACCCTCTCTAGACTATCGCCTAGCGTTTGGTTGAATACAATATCTCAACTATGCGATCGCAATAGTTTTGATCTGTTCAACTTATGTTCATCAGATAAATTAATCTGACCATTAAATCTAATGATCAATTTTCCCTTATAGAATGCAATCGCATTATTCAATTTGAATGCCTACAATCGCATGATATTCAAACTGAATTGGGAAAAAATGAAACTGATTTAAAAAGTTAAACACAGATCCTCTGAAATAAACTAACGAACCTTTAACCTTAGATTGATTAAAGGTATTTAGCCTAGCTTCGCGAGGTTAAACATCATTGAAAATAAAATAAAAAAAGAAGAAGAAGATGAAAAGAAAAGAATGCAGAATTTCAAAGAAAACTCAAATAATTGTTCAACTCCAAAATCTGACTGCCAAAGGTTTCCTAAAATTTCCCTTAAATAACCCACATTCAAAACGGGTTAAGGTTCACCACTTCGGTGCATACATAAAATAAAAACTTAATAAAATAAAACAAAACATTAAAAAATGGCGTTGGGCCCTAAACATATTGGGTTCTAATCTAATTTACAAGTCCAAACGTTAAAATAAATTTCAGCAAAAACACGTCATCTTAGGCTCAGGTTTCGACCATCTTCACGTCCGAATTTGGCTTTAGTAGCTGAAATAACGATTATAGCTCTTTCTGTTAGTTGAAAAAAGAAATAAGAACGGAGTCAATCGAACATCTGTAGAGTGAGAGATGCCCAAAATACGAAAGTAGTGTAAATCTGGAAAATTTAGACGAAAATCAATTAAACCCAATTAAAATCTAAAATTTTGATTTGACCCAAAAGAATATTATTTAACTCAAATAAATCCTAAAAATACTAACAAGAGTAACAAATAAGTGTAACAAAATACATGTTATCAATTATCATCACATGTAGTGATAATAATGGGAATACTCAGTTGAAACAACATTTATGTCATCAGTTTCAGACCATGAATCTTGGGAACTTCGATATTTTTTGGGAATTGAAGTGGCTCAATCTAAAGATGGTGTGATGATATCTCAAAGGAAATATGCTTTGGATATCCTTGAAGAGACTTTCTTGTTAAATTCTAAGTCTGTTGAGACATCTATATATCAAAATGTTAAGCTTATACCAAATCAGGGGGAGCCCTTTTCATGTCCTGAAAGGTATAGAAGATTGGTTGGAAAACTGAACCACCTCACAATTACTTGGCCTGACATTTCATTTGCAGTTAGTGTGGTAAGTCAGTAGAACATTGAAATGTTGTTATTCAGATTCTCAAGTATATCAAGGCACCTCCAGGAAAAGGTCTTAAATATAAAGATAAAGATAATATTAAAGTTATTGGATACTCTGATGCTGATAGAGCTGGTTGTCCTAATGATAGGAGATCTACTACTGGATATGTCGTATTTGTTGGAGGTAACTTGGTTTCTTGAAAAAGTAAGAAGCATAATGTAGTAGCCAGACCAAGTGCTGAAGCAAAATATCACTTCATAGCTACTACTACGTGTTAGCTCATTTGGCTTAAGCAACTTCTTAGAGAGCTCAAGTTTGGAGACTCTGGATCAGCAACTCTCATTTGTGACAACCAAGCAGCATTACATATCTCTTCCAACCCGATATTTCATGAAAGAACCAAACATATTGAGGTAGATTGTCATTTTGTTTGAGAATAGGTTCTTGCTGGCAAAGTTACAACTAGTTTTGCACCCTCTAATAATCAATTAGTAGATGTACTCACAAAGTATTTGAGGGATCCTCGAATAGAGTATATATGTTAAAAGCTTGATGCCTATGATTTATACGCTACCGCTTGAGGGAGAATATTGGAAATAATATTGTAAATATATATTTTCTTATTAGTATTTATGTTAAGTATGGGTTAAACTCATTAGATTTTCTATATATTGTACACACTTGTACTGATAAGTGTCAAAGACACTATGTTTTTAATATTAAAATTACTTTAAATATTGATTAATATGATTATTAATTTAGTGTTATTAATAAATCTAAAAGATATTAAAACACCAACAACTTGATAAGATTATAATCCCTTATCATATTGTTTCAGGTTCAATGTAACAAATCACTAATTTAATGGAAAAGACAACTCAGATTAGTTGCAAAAGATAAGGATCAAGAAAAATAAATAATTAATCAAAATTAATCCTTAGCGAGCTTGGTCCAAATTAAAAAGTCTATTTTTATTTCTATAAAAATGCATGTTAATCGGCTCATTCCAAACATTCGGAAGACAAGGCAGAGGAGCGCTTGGGGAGACGATTGCAGAGCAGAAGGAAGAAGAGAAAATCAAGAAATTACAATGGAGTTTTCTTGCTAAGTCCTATGAATATTTATAGTTTCTTTTCATCTATTGTTCTTGTTTTCTTGAACATGTTAGGCTAGTTTTCTTTAAGTAGTTAGGGAAAGACGGAACCAATGGGTTCTTAAACGCTGTTTTTTTTCCTCATGATTTATATTCTTGATTTAAAGTTATGCAATTAATCTGTGTTAAATTCCTAGTCTCGTTTATGATCTGGTCAATCTTGAATGGGAATTATAATCTTGCATGAACAGGGATGTTGGTGTTTTGATTTTTTTTTGTTGATTCTTAGAATTTGTATGATCTAGGGATAAACTTATGAATTCTACAATTGTAAGGTTCTTGCGTTAATGCTTGTTTTATTAAAAAGTACTGAGGGATTAGGATTTTGAGTGAAGTAAAGGATTAGATTACCAAGAGATTGGGATCTAATCAAATATAGAAAGAACTGTTAATAACTTGATCTTGAATCTTAATTACAAGAATAGGTAAACTCGTTGAGGAAAAATTGGAGAAGTTGAGTCCTAGCTACGTCTTTTATTAAAACTTAAAACCAAATTTGTAGCATTATTAATTATGAATTTAATTTCTTAAATATTGAAAATTAAAAATAAGTAACTTTCAAAATTCTGTTTTAATTGTATACAAAAAAAAATCTGTTTTAATTAAATTAAAATATTTTCAAGAAAACCTTTCACGATCGATCCAACTTTAATTGAATAGGTAAATTAGTGATTGGTTATCAATCCTTGTGGGTTCGACAACCTTATTTTACCACTTTATTACTTGTACGACCGGTGCACTTGCCGAATTCGCGCAACATATACTTATTCAATATACGGATTATTTAACAATTCCTTTCTTATTCAATAAGTTGAATTTTAACTTAGTTTGGTCGTAACCTTAAATTTTGATCAGATTTTCTTTTTTAGGAATCCAACATTATCCCAATGATGAATGGAACGATCAAGGTTTATGCAAAATGCAAAAAAGTGCCAACTTGAACTTCGCCACAACTGATGGTGCGACGTTGCAAAGAGAGTGGAAACTTAGAAATTTCTTAAGTGAAGGGATGGTTCAGTACTTCAGTTCATGGATGCCAAACTTAGGCCTTGAGAATTTGAGAAAAGAAGTGATAGAGGGTCACCATGAAGCCAGATATGTCTATTCCATGCATTTGATGTTTTGTGAAGATGAAGAAGAAAGAAATAAAGGATTCGAACATTTTTGCTCCTTTAGAAGGGATATTTACTAAAAGCTCTTCCAAATGAGTTGTTAGCACAGATTTTCGCAAAAGTAGCCACTCATTCCATCACTGACATCTCAAATGTTAAATTAATTCGTATATTTTTTTTGGAAGCACGAGAAGATAATTATGTGTATAAGCATGCATCTATGGACAATCTGGGATTGGTTCCATTGACATGGTTCAATGATAACAAAAAATCTGAATTCATGCAACGTTGCAGAGAGAGTGGAAACTTAGAAATTGCTTACAACTTTGAAATTTTTGTAGGAATACAAAGAGGATCACCAAGTTTATCATCCTGAAGCACAAATGAACAACAATACAACACATTCAAAAAGGAATTTTTTTAGCTTTATGGTAAAAAACAAAGTAAATATGACAAAAATAGAAATTCTTAAGAAACGAGTAGTTGATATCAAATGGGAAAATATTCGAGAACTAATTTTAACATTAATAAGGGTTCCATGCAATTAAACTTATATACTAAAATTAGTGGGATTTTAACCCTTGATCAAAACAAAAGAAGCTATTTATAATGATCAATACACAAATTACAATAGTTGTTGTGTTATGTCATATCATGTCTGAGGCTTTAAGTTTTGAAGCTTGATGAAATGGTTAATTCAAGAATAAAAGGGGTAGAGAAAATGAAGAAGAGATATTCACTAAAATCTCTTTCAAATGAGTTGTTAGTACAAATTTTTGCAAAAGTAGCCTTTGATTCCATCACTGACATCTCAAATGTCAAATTAAGCTGCAAAAAATGTCTGGAAGCAGTGGAAGATAAATATGTGCATAAGCATGCATCTATGGATATGTTGGGATTTGTGTTATTGGCATGGTTCATATATAACAAAAAATATGCATTCGTGCAACGTTGCAGAGATAGTGGAAACTTAGAAATTTCTTACCGTGAAGGGATGGTTCAGTACTTCAGTTCATGGATGCCAAACTTAGACCTTGAGAATTTGAAAAAGACAACGATGGAGGGACATCATGAAGCCATATATGTCTATTTCATGCTTATGATGTTCTGTGAAGATGAAGAAGAAAGAAAACAGAGATTCGAACATTTTTGCTCCTTGAGAAGGGATATTTACTAAAAGCTCTTCCAAATGAGTTGTTAGTACAGATTTTCGCAAAAGTAGCCTCTCATTCCATCACTGACATCTCAAATGTCAAATTAATCCGCAAAAAATTTATGGAAGCAGTGGAAGATAATTATGTGCATAAGAATACACCTATGGACAATCCGGGATTGGTTCTATTGGCATGGTTCACAGATAACAAAAAATCTGAATTCGTGCAACGTTGCAGAGAGAGTGGAAACTTAAAAATTGGTACAGCTTTGAAATTTTTGTGGAATTCAAAGAGGCTCACCAAATTTGTCATACTGAAGCACAAATGCACAATAGTACAACACATTCAAAAGGAAAATTTTTAGCTTATCAATGGTAAAAAACAAAGTAAATATGACCAAAAAAGGAATTCTTGAGAAACCAGTAGTTGATATCCAATGGCATAACATTTGAGAATTAATTTTAACATTAAGAAGTGTTCCATGCAATTAAACTTATATACTAAAATTAGTGGGATTTTATTCCTTGATCAAAACAAAAGAAGCTATTTATAATGATCAATAATACCCTCAAATTACAATAGCTGTTGTGTTCTGTCATATCATGTCTGGGCTTTTAAGTTTTGAAGCTTGATGAAATTGCTGATTCAAGAATAAAAGGGGTAGAGAAAAAGAAGATGGGATATTCACTAAAATCTCTTCCAAATGAGTTGTTAGTACAGATTTTTGCAAAAGTAGCCTTTGATTCAATCACTGACATCTCAAATGGAAATTTAAGCTGCAAAAAGTGTCTGGAAGTAGTGGAAGATAATTATGTGCATAAGCATGCTTCTATGGACATGTTGGGATTGGTTCCATTGCTATGGTTCACGGATAACAAAAAATTTGAATTCGTGCAACGTTGCAGAGAGAGTGGAAACTTCGAAATTGCTTACAGCTTTGAAATTTTTTTGGAATACAAAGAGGCTCACCAAGTTTGTCATCCTGAAGCACAAATGCACAACAGTACAACACATTCAAAATAAAATTTTTTAGCTTAGCAATGGTAAAAAATAAAGTAAATTTGACCAAAAAAGGAATTCTTGAGAAACCAGTAGTTGATATCCAATGACAAAACATTTGAGAACTAATTTTAATATTAAGAATGATTCCATAAAAATTAAACTTATATACTAAAATTAGTGGGATTTTATCCCTTAATCAAAACAAAAGAAGATATTTATAATGATCAATAATACCCACAAATTACAATAGCTGTTGTGTTCTGTCATATCATGTCTGAGGCTTTAAGTTTTGAAGCTTGATGAAATGAGTGATTCAAGAATAAAAGAGGTAGAGAAAAAGAAGATGGGATATCCACTAAAATCTCTTCCAAATGAGTTGTTAGTACAAATTTTCGCAAAAGTAGCCTTTGATTCTATCCCTGACATCTCAAGTGTCAAATTAAGCTGCAAAAAGTTTCTGGAAGCAATGGAAGATAATTATGTGCATAAGCATGCATCTATGGATATGTCGGGATTGGTGCCATTGGCATGGTTCACAGATAACAAAATATGCATTCGTGCAACGTTGCAGAGATAGTGGAAACTTAGAAATTTCTTACTGTGAAGGGATGGTTCAGTACTTCAGTTCATGGATGCCAAACTCAGGCCTTGAGAATTTGAAAAAGGCAGCGATGGAGGGTCATCATGAAGCCATATATGTCTATTTCAAGCTTTTGATGTTCTGTGAAGATGAAGAAGAAAGAAAACAGGGATTCGAACATTTTTGATCCTTGAGAAGGGATGTTTACTAAAAGCTCTTCCAAATGAGTTGTTGGTACATATTTTCGCAAAAGTAGCCTCTCATTCCATCATTGACATCTCAAATGTCAAATTAATCTGTAAATTTTTTTTGGAAGCAGGGGCAGATAATTATGTGTATAAGCATGCATCTATGGACAATCTGGGATTGGTTCCATTGGTATGGTTCACAGATAATAAAAAATTTGAATTCATGCAACGTTGCAAAGAGAGTGGTAACTTAAAAATTGCTTACAACTTTGAAATTTTGGTGGGAATACAAAGAGGCTCACCAAGTTTGTCATCTTGAAGCACAAATGCACAACAGTACAACACATTCAAAAAGAAATTTTTTAGCTTAGCAATGATAAAAAACAAAGTAAATATGACCAAAAAAGGAATTCTTGAGAAACGAGTAGTTGATATCTAGTGGGAAAACATTTGAGAACTAATTTTAACATTAAGAAGGGTTCTGTAAAGAACCTTGAGATACATCACCCCAAAAGCTAGCTCAAAGGTAGGAGTGCCCAAGGCTGGTGTATCCCAAGGTTATTTACAGGTTCCATGCAATTAAACTTATATACTAAAATTAGTGGGATTTTATCCCTTGATCAAAACAAAATAAGCTATTTATAATGATCAATAATACCCACAAATTACAATAGCTGTTGTATTCTGTCATATCATGTTTGAGGCTTTAAGTTTTGAAGCTTGATGAAATGGGTGATTCAAGAATAAAAGGGGTAGAGAAAAAGAAGATGGGATATTCACCAAAATCTCTTCCAAATGAGTTGTTAGTACAAATTTTCGCAAAAGTAGCCTTTGATTCCATCGCTGACATCTCAAATGTGAAATTAAGCTGCAAAAAGTGTCTGGAAACAGTGAAAGATAATTATGTGCATAAGCATGCATCTATGGACATGCTGGGATTGGTGCCATTGGCATGGTTCACAGATAACAAAAAGTATGCATTCGTGCAACGTTGCAGAGAGAGTGAAAAATTAGAAATTTCCTACCGTGAAGGGATGGTTCGGTACCTCAGTTCATGGATGCCAAACTTAGGCCTTGAGAATTTGAAAAAGGCTGCGATGGAGGGTCATCATGAAGCCATATATGTTTATTCTATGCTTTTGGTGTTCTGTGAAGATGAAGAAGAAAGAAAATAGGGATTGGAACATTTTTGCTTCTTGAGAATGGATATTTGCTAAAAGCTATTTCAAATGAGTTGTTAGTACAGATTTTCGCAAAAGTAGACTTTGATTCCATCACTGACATCTCAAAAGTCAAATTAAGCTGCAAAAAGTGTCTGGAAGCAGTGGAAGATAATTATGTGCATAAGCATGCATCTATGGACATGCTGGGATTGGTGCCATTGCCATGGTTCACAAATAACAAAAAATCTGAATTCGTGCAATGTTTCAGAGAGAGTGGAAACTTAGAAATTGCTTACAGCTTTGAAATTTTTGTGGAATACAAAGATGCTCACCAAGTTTGTCATCCCGAATCTCAAAGGCACAACAATACAACACATTCAAAAGGAAATTTTTTAGCTTAGCAATGGTAAAAAACAAAGTAAATATGAACGCAAAAGGAATTCTTGAGAAACCAGTAGTTGATATCCAATGGGAAAACATTTGAGAACTAATTTTAACATTAAGACGGGTTCCATGAAATTAAACTTATATACTAAAATTAGTGGGATTTTATCCCTTAATCAAAACAAAAGAAGCTATTTATAATGATCAATAATACCCACAAATTACAATAGCTGTTGTGTTCTGTCATATCATGTCTGAGGCTTTAAGTTTTGAAGCTTGATGAAATGGGTGATTTAAGAATAAAAGGGGTAGAAAAAAAGAAGATGCAATATTCACTAACATCTCTTTCAAATGAGTTGTTAGTAAAATTTTTCGCAAAAGTAGCCTTTGATTCCATCGCAGACATCTCAAATGTCAAATTAAGCTACAAAAAGTGTCTGGAAGCAGTGGAAGATAATTATGTGCATAAGCATGCATTTATGGACATGCCGGGATTGGTGCCATTGGCATGGTTCACAGATAACAAAATATGCATTCGTGCAACGTTGCAGAGAGAGTGGAAACTTAGATATTTCTTACCGTGAATGGATGGTTCAGTACTTTAGTTCATGAATGCCAAACTTAGGCCTTGAGAATTTGAAAAAGGCAGCAATGGAGGGTCATCATGAAGCCAGATATGTATATTCCATGCTTTTGATGTTATGTGAAGATGAAGAAGAAAGAAAACAAGGATTCGAACATTTTTGCTCTTTGAGAAGGGATATTTACTAAAAGCTCTTCCAAATGAGTGGTTAGTACAAATTTTCGCAAAAAGTAACCTCTTATTCCATCATTGACATCTGTGAATCATGCCAACCAAGAGCGATAAATAAATGTAACAAAGTTTTTGTTCGAATGGGCTAACGCACGTGTTAATAGAAAAGAAAAGAAGAATAATGAAAAAGAGTTAACGGTTTTGGTGCAGTGGGGCTAAGTGCGCATCATGCACTTCGAGTGACGAGAAAAGCGGAAAGAGCATTATTTATGTACTTTATAATGGAGAAACGTTCTGAACTTCTCATACATGAGTGCTAGAGCATAAAGGTACCACCACACTACTGTAGTGTTTCATGTCAAATGCTCTCAAATAGAACATCTCGATCACCATTATAAAGAGCATCATCCATGAGTGGATCAGTTCACTTGCATTCCAATTTGTTCTTGCAAAAGTCAACAAGATTCTCTCTTTTGATTCTAGTCTTATGACTTAAGACTTATATGATTTATCCTTCTCTCAATAGCTAATTACAGTTTATTTAAAATGTATAATTGTGTTTACCTTCAAGAGAAAATAAATAAATGCAGTTGATTACATAACAAGCAATTTTATATTCATGTTTGGGGTAAGATGATACAGTCATAAAAAAGTTAAGGAAATTATAACGGCAGAGAAAAGTTATTATAGCAATACAGAGAGTTGATACATATTAAACAGGAAGATATGTAGGAGAAAAGTATTATTGAAAATAATATCAAGAATCACTTTCTTTGTGATGTAATTTGTCTCTTTTTGTGTTTTTTTAGATTAAATTGTAATTTGTCTTCTTTTAGAGCTTTCCTCATAAGCTTTTTCTAACATAAGAATAAATGTTCAGACTTCAGAGAGAAGTCAAAATTTATTGTTTTTCGTGTGAATAGAATTGATTCTACGTATAAAACCTACATTATTTTAAAGAAATATTTACAATTACATCTCAAAAGTAACTTTATTTTATTACTTAAAAAATCAATCATTTTAAATCAAATTTTAAAATATTATTAACAAGCATGAATTAATTTTTTTAATCAGTTTTTCTACAATAATTGTTTTATTAAAATATAGACTAAGCATGCATTATATTCTTTTTAGTAGTTTTTTTTCTTCTTAAAGTGGTTTTATTTTATCTTATCTTTCTTTCATATACATTTTTTAAATATAAAAAAAATTAACACAACAATTACTAATTTTAACAATATTAATTTTGAAATTAATTTATTAAAACATAAATTAAATGGACCCAACCGTAATGTTGGGAATCAAATGTCAATTCTGAAGTTAACACATGAGTAAATATAAAATAAAATCCAACATAAAATTGAGCAACGAATTCACTATTAGTCTTCTTCTTTCTTAATTTTAATATATAGTGCTGTTGGCATGTGTATAATTAGTTATATGTTAGGGAAAAAAGTATCTAATGTTACTTTAGATAATTTTGTCTAATGTTCATTGAAATGACGTCGTATTAAAGTTGAAAAATAAAAAATTAGAATGATAAAGAGTATTATAACCTTGAAATAAATAAAATTACAAAAACACCATGATTTCCGCCTCAAAACGACGTCATTTCGATGAACATTAGATAAAATTATCTAAAGTAACTTTAGAAAAAATAAACCTTCTATGTTATTATGTAATTCATTATCTAACGTGAACCTTCATATCATTTGTTTCTATTTTTTTTTTACATAAAGACCAAACATTAAAATAAAATAAAAAATCTACATGTTAAAAAATTACATCTCCACATACTAGAAAAACAATATTATGTTATACATTTCAAAAGTATTTACGGTTTAGAAATTTACGGCTTAACTTATATCAGATAAGACTTATAATAGTCTATTATATCTAGTAAAATAAAATATGCACAAGTCTTATTTTTTATTTATTTTTTTATAAAGTAGGCCATAAACTTTCTTTTTTAAGGTTCGACCTATAAGCCTAATAAAATATAAAAAATTATTATTTTAATAATTCTAAAGCATAAAGTAATATTATTTTAATTATTTTTTAAATTATTAAATGCCTATAGATTTAAATAGACTAGTCTTTTATTTTTTAAATATAGATCAAACTAAATTTATAATTTAGATTACACAAGATTAACATACTACGAGAAATATTTTAAAAAAGTCTAACCTAGTCCAAGTTTGCCGTGATCTATTCTATTTAAACCCTTACATGCAATTCCAAAACAATAGGATGAATAGTCCTAGTTCGATAAAATTTTATTTCATGACGTATTATAAATATAACTTAATAAATGTGAGTTCTACGATTAATACTTAGGATCTCGATTCATTTCTAAAACATTTTCTTAATATCTAATAATTTTTCTACTACTTTAAGAATATAATAAAACATTCAATGTTTTTTTATTCGATAATCAAAAGATTACTATTAAGAAAAAGGGTTCTAGTAGTATTATGTAACATTATGTAAGTGTTGTTTCCAACTCTCACATCAAAAGGGAGAGAGAAAGTGGAATGATGAAAGAGAAAGAAAAATATGTGGACCCCACTTCTTTGATGTGTGTAGAAAAGTGAAGTTATATTATGTTAAATGATAAACATAAAACAAAAAAAATACAATTATTCGATTAAAAAAAGAAAAGCAACAGCATAGCATAGCATCTTTTGATCCAAAACCGAATATGTTCCCCGTGGCCAAGCGCGGTGAAACGCATGATGGACCAAGCAACAGCAACAGCAATAAAATTAAAAAAGAAAGAGGAAAACAAAACAAAACTGTTTCAAGCACTGCGATTTCTAGAACGGGTGGCCCCTGTCGTTCCAGTAGCCAGTACCAGCAGCCACCTATGGTTTCAACCACTGATCGACACGTGTCAGTCGCAAGTCCATTCGATGAGGCTCGAGTCAGCGCGCACGGGGTTTGGCTTTGCCCTTCTGCTTCGTTCACAACCCCCAAACTTTTTGGCGAAAATTATTAGGAAGAACCAGAATCATTATTATTATTATTATAGAATAATATAATAAAAGATTAAATACGATTTCTCCCTCGAAATATTCCACTTCTCATTCTCTCGTATTACTGTTACAGTGTTACTGTCACGAATAATTTGTAATCGAATCACGGAACAATGGAGCCTGCAAAACCCTAGCAACCTTCCGCCGCCTTTTCTTTCGCCGCAGCATGAACCTCATCTGTAAGTATCTATTTTTTATTATTTGTTTGTTTAATTAATAATAAAAACTTCAAAGCCTTTTCATATTATTGGGGCGCTAATGCTTTTTGGTTCAATTTAAGGGACGATGTACAATTTCCAATATATATATATAATTTATTTATTTTAAATTGTCGTTGTAATCAAATCTTCAACCTTCTATGTAATTTCCTCCCCTTTTTCTGTTTTGTTTATATTTCGCGAGAACTGATATTTATTTTATTTTTGCTTAGTTTTTGGTGAGAGATTGAACCTGAGTTAGACAGTACTTGCTGGGATTTTTTTTTGTTGTTGTTAGATACGAGGAATAAGTTAGATTTGTTGTTTTTTTTGTTTCTGAGTTGTTGTTTGTTCATGTTAATTATTGAGCAATAACTAGATTTTGCGCTCTGAATGTCGGGTCCAAACTGTTTAAAGATTTCATAATTTTGTTTTAGCATGGATCTCGAATATCTAGCGAGCACAATTGGCTTTGCGACGGTTGGCTGGTATTTGAAATTGGAAAAGTTTTCAGCTGGCTCTGGGCTTGTTGAGGGATAGTGACCTCTGTTTTCCTCAGATGGGTGAAGATAACCCGCGCGTTGGTGGGTTTTCAGCTGGTCTGGCTGTGATTTTGAATGGTGAGGACAGTAAGAAAAATCT